GTAGGTGTTCAGAATGGTTTGATCCCTATCCAGCTGAATTCCTGAAAGGAGACGAAATCCAGGTCTCCTACTCCTCCGCCATCTTGCTCCACCCCTGCATGTCTTTTCTGTTTTAAAATTTTTTAGTTTGGGGCACCTGGGTGGCTCAGTCGGTTGTGCATCCAACTCTTGGTTTTGGCTCAGGTCATGATCTCAGGGTCCTGGGATTAAGACCCACATTGGGCTCCCTGCCAGCGGGGAGTCTGCTTGTCTCCCTCTCTCTCTGCTCCTCTCCCCACTCACACACTCTCTCTAAAATAAGTAAATAAATCTTTTTTTAAAGATTTAAAAAATAAAAACTTTTAATTTAACAAAATATTGTTTTTATAAATTGTTAGAGATTGTATAAATGCATTTATATTGTCAACAAAATGCCATTTCTATATTTAAAGTCAAGTGGAAAATTATCATGATAAATATGTAAGTTAATTTGCTTTTGCAAACTAGATTTTGAAGGATGTAGAAATATGATAAACTTTTACTTCTTCTTCATGCTGGGGAATTATCTGTCCACCTAAAGAAATTTTGAAAATTAGTTGATTAACCTTTCACATCTGAATAGTAATAATTTTAGTACCAATATTGTTTCCCTTTTTATTACTGGTTATAGTTTTTATGAGTTATAGTAGCAATCCATACTCTCCTTTATCACCCCTGAGGATCCCAAAATTTGTGGGGTTTTTTGACATTTTTAAAATAAAGCAGCCTCAGTAGAACCACTTTGGTTCTATCAACATTGATTTATGTCTTTGAGCCAAAATAGGGAGTCATCAGGATCTCATTTCTTTTCTTCCAAAAGAGTCCTCTAGTTGGCTAAACTTATGGTAAAAATAGATTCATAAAGGGCTACTGTCTAGCAGCATCAAAGTACAAAGAAAATGGATATATTGACTTAAGAATAATACCAAAATCCTCAATTTTAACACATTTTTGCTCTTGTAAATAGTAAAGCAATTAATACTAGACCACAGGATATGAGCATTCCCAAAGTTAATCTATATTAAATTACCTTTCTAGAAGTTTAAATATTTTACCACACCCTTATATACATTAAATATACCTTTTTTTGCTAATATAACTAGCAAATATGATTTTTAAGCTTTAAAATTGTAATATTTAGTGAGGTTACACATCTTTTAAAATATCTAGTAGCACTGATTTTTTTTCTATAGTGAATTAATTGTCACGGCACCTGGGTGGCTCAGTTGGTTAAGTGTCTGCCTTCAGCTCAGGTCATGATCCCGGGGTCCTGGGATAGAGTCTTGCATTGGGCTCCCTCATCAGCAGGGAGTCTGCTTCTCCCTCTACCTCTCCCCTCTGCTTGTGAGCTCTCTCTCTCAAATAACTGAATAAATACATTTTTTTTAAAAAAGAAATAATTGTCTATATTAATTCTCTGTCTATCTATTTGAGTGTGGGTATGTTTCCCGTTATATGTTTTATATAATAATATTAAATAATTGGCTTCTAACACTTCCTAATTTATTGATCATCATTTGGTTTTTGAACTTTAGACACACAAAGACTTCTAATTTTTAGATATTCAAATTATCAGTCTTAATTTTTATGATATTTTGAATGTTTTTAATTCTTCTCCCATCCACTTAGAGATAAAACAGTTATGTTTCTCTTTTCTTTTAGTTTCCATGGTTCTGCTTGTTTATATTACCATTCTTATTGATCTAGAATTTATTGTAACATCTAGAGGCAGTAAGAATCTAAATTGGTTTTTTGTTTCTAAATAGATAAACAATCTTCTGCAGTATTAATGTTTTTCCATAATCCATTCATTCTCAAAGGATTTGACATGCCTTTCTTTAAAAGCAGGTATTAACTATTTGTATATTATAGGCTATATTTAGCTTTCTGCTGTTATTTATTTTAAACAATTCTTAGCCAATTCTACACAGATTTAATTATTAGTGCTTTATGTATGTTTATATATCCAACAGGCATATTTACCAATCATATATCCAAATGTCCTGTCTTATTATTACTCTTCCAAAAAAAATCATTTTGATTTATTTTTAACACTTTAGTTCACGATCATAAACTTATTTTATGGACAAAACAAAATCTTTTCTATATATTCAGAGTTCTCATCATGAACATCAAATGTTTTGTTACGTTGTGATACCATGGTACCCTCCGGATGTTTGCACTTAAATACTGTGGGGTGTTTCACCTAAAAAGTATTCCTTGAACAAGAACATTTGGGAAATTTTGCTTAATTCACTCCCCTTAGAGATTCGTAATAAATATGAATATATAAAAGACAGAGAAAAAAATTGTACAGTGAAGAAATCTACACAATATTGTTTAATCCAGTATTTTTCAAATTTTCATGTTACTTTATTTCTTGCTTAATCATTACTAACAAACCACCATAATGGTTTTCCTGTCCTGTATGTTATAAAAATGATACTTCCTTTGGCTACTCCCAGTCCTTTTTTATCATTTCTGCCTGAAATGCCCATCGGTCCCCCAGGTAAGCAGAGCATTTCCATACTATAAAAGTGCCTCTAGTTGGCAAAAGACAGAAGTAGTTGGAGATGGCAGAGATGCCAAATTTATGTTCTGTCAGACCCATCAAAGAGGTTTCCATTCCTTCATGGTGCCGGAGCCAATGGGAGTGACTTCAGTCAAGGAAAGAAAGAAGCTGGAGTGGGTTGCCTAAGCTTTCAGAAGAGAGGCAGTCTCCCAGCTCGCCTGCAGCCCAGTGAAAGTGGGTCATTTCACCACTGAGGAATGGCTCTGGGTGGCACTTCAGAGACACTGTGGCGAAGGAACAGACGCTTATTCATCGGGAGGCAGATAGTGTTTTTCCTCTCCTGTGATAGATTCGCGCTGGCCCAGCAGTCTTTATGGTTAGGCGTGACTTCCTGAGGGGTTTTCTCTGGATTCACAGAAGGTTCCCTGAATCCCAGGGAAAGCCTGACTCACCCTCAGTCCTGTCAGGGTGGGGCTGGCATGACTTGGATGCAACTTCTACTTGGCTGAACTTACACGATGGTAATTTCAGCCTGAAATCAGCTGCCTCTAGGAGAAATGGAAGAACATGAGGCGGAAAAGGCCGAGCGGAGGTGCTGACAGGGGCGGTAGAGCCACGGGCTTCTCCCTCATGCCCTAGGGTGACACGTTAGGAAACTTAGAAAATATATTTTTTTCTCTACAACTTCCTTTTTCCCTACAGCAGCTTCTCCCACAAGTTCATGTCCTGATATACTACTAACTGACGCCTATCTTAACACCTGATACCATGCTTTGGACAACTGGACCCAAGCCTGGAGCTGACCTCCCAACTTTGCATCTTTAGTCCTTATCTCCTATACGAATATGCCGAAGATTCCTTCCAATATGTATCTTGTGTTCTTTATCACTTAAATTGCAAGCATGATCTTGTTCCATTTAATGCCACCCCCTGTAGGGGGCCTTAAATTCTCAAACACTGTCACTCACGCCAACACAAACACACATATGATTTCTGTAAACGGGCAGGGCGTGGAGCTGTCCTGTCAATAAGTACCTGCAAGGAAGTGAAGGGTTTGTTTGCCATTACTTAAAGCATACAGTAGCCAGACGCCAGATAAATAGACCATAACAGGTTGACCCTGACGTTGGTTAGGGAAGTAAGTTGGCAAGTCACAGAAAGAAGGAAAAGAGACAACATGGAAGAGACAATCTACCAAGATGTGTGAGTCCCAGGTCTGACTCTTACTAGCTGAATGGCTTCAGGGGGACCCACTTTATCTAATCTTTAGTGTCCCATGAAATCAGGGATGGGAATGGTGGTTGCCTCACAGGACCATCATCGACAATTCAATGAGATAATGTGCATATATAAAATGCATCTGGCCTGTAGTCGCGCTCAGGAAATTTGAAGAATTGTGGTGACAGTGATAGCCTTGGAGGGGTAGCTGAAACCTCGGAAATTCAGTGCTTGTGAGCAGCTTTCTGAAAAAAGCATCCATGAGTTTCATCAAGGGATCTCCAAATGATTAAAAACTCCTGTAGTAAGGGAAAGCAGTTGGAAAACATTGAGTATCACGGAAGGAAACATAGTCATTTCAGATAAATTGATTTTCCAAAGTTACAAAGATAACAATTTCCAAATTGCTATCCTTGACTAAAACATATGTGTTGGCTTTTCTTCAACTTATTTAACTATTAGCCTCCTTTCTTCAAAACTCAGTTCAGCTATCTCCCTGCTGCATACCTGACCGGACCACTCATAGTGACCCTTGCATAGTTCCCTTCTTACAGGTTGGTCCCGCTCCTCCAATTTTATTCCAACTGCTGGCAAGAAGGGCTCCAATCTTACACCTTCTTTCAATGCCCAGAATAACCTTCCCACCTGGTTACTAATAGACAAATGCATATCACTGATAATGATACTTGTTAGGGTGTGGGAAAGTATACTTTCCCACAGAGAGTAGAGTATACTTTACTCTCTGTAAAGTATAATGAACTTCTTCTCGGGAGGTCCGCATAATGGCCCACCCCCTCTGTACAGCAGAGCGACCAACATATCGTAAGTGCTTCATGAATAAAGGGTGAGGGAAGATTGAAAAAAAATAGGTCACTATGAGAAGTTATATACCGATAAATGGATAAATTAGGCAGATAAGAACACTAGAAAGTAATTTTTTTTTTTTAAGTGCAGGATGTAACCAACACTCTCTGCATTTATTCTACAGGAATATTGCTGTTTTCAAACATTTATGACTTGTGTACCAAAAATTCACTATAACAATGTATTTTCTTTTTTTTCTTTAATTATTTTTTTATTATGTTATGTTAATCACCATACACTGCATCATTAGTTTTTATTGTAGTTCCATGGTTCATTTTTTGCGTGTAACACCCAGTGCTCCATGCAGTACATGCCCTCTTTAATAGCCATCACCAGGCTAACCCATCCCTCCACCCCCCTCCCCTCTAGAACCCTCAGTTTGTTTCTCAGAGTCCATAGTCTCTCATGGTTCGTCTCCCCCTCTGATTTCCCTGCCCTTCATTTTTCCCTTCCTGCTATCTTCTTCTTTTTTTTTTTTTTTTTAACATATAATGTATTATTACGGGTGCCTGGGTGGCTCAGTTGGTTAAGCGACTGCCTTCGGCTCAGGTCATGATCCTGGAGTCCCAGGATCGAGTCCCACATCGGGCTCCCTGTTCAGCAGGGAGTCTGCTTCTCCCTCTGACCCTCCTCCCCTCGTGCTCTCTCTCTCATGCTCTCTCTCTCTCTCAAATAAATTAATAAAATCTTTAAAAACAAAAACAAAAAACATATAATGTATTATTTGTTTCAGAGGTACAGGTCTGTGATTCAATAGTCTTACACAATTCACAACACTCACCATAGCACATACCCTCCCCAATGTCTATCACCCAGCCACCCCATCCCTCCCACCCCCACCATTCCAGCAACACTCAGTTTGTTTCCTGAGATTTAGAATTCCTCATATCAGTGAGGTCATGATACATGTCTTTCTCTGATTGACTTATTTCGCTCAGCACAATACCCTCCAGTTCCATCCACGTTGTTGCAAATGGCAAGATTTCATTCCTTTTGATGGCTGCATAATATTCCATTGTATATATATACCCCATCTTCTTTATCCATTCATCTGTCGATGGACATCTTGGCTCTTTCCATATTTTGGCTATTGTGGACATTGCTGCTATAAACATCAGGGTGTACATACCCCTTCAGATCCCTACATTTGTATCTTTGGGGTAAATACTCAGTAGTGCAATTGCTGAGTCATAGGGTAGCTCTATTTTCAACTTTTTGAGGAACCTCCATACTGTTTTCCAGAGTGGCTGCACCAGCTTGCATTCCTACCAGGTCTTTTCTGATTTGTTTAGTGTATATTTTTCTGGGGTCGTTGTTACCCTCTTAGCATTTTGTTCTCTCATTCATCTATTCTCCTCTGGATAAAATGACAGGACAGAAAAAATCACCTCAAAAAAAAAGAACAAGAGGCAGTACCGACTGCCAGGGACCTAATCAATACAGACATTAGTAAGATGTCAGTACAACAATGTATTTTCATCAGGAGACCAAAGTTGAGGTTGAAAGGATCGGCCACCCTTACCTTCTGCTTGAGAACGAAGTCCCAACCATAGTTTCCTCTTATGGTCCTTACATGGAATGCATCCCCCATTGTTGTCTCGTACATTTATAGAAGTTTCCCAGCACTACCTTGGATAAACAGAATCGGAAAAGAAAGATTCTTAGAATCAAAAAGGAAAGCAGCCAACATGGCAAGTAAATTATCTTTTGTGGTGATAGGGTTGGGAGAGAAAAGGGATATGTTTGTGCAAAGCAACCACAAAGTGCCATCGGAGCTATTGATGGATAAGCTGTTTCTGAAACCTCTGCTTTTTAAAGAAACCGTATCAGCAGCACCAAGCAGCTCATTTGCTGCAAATTTGTCTTCAAACTGTTTTTGCGCAAAATGCTGATAAGTACAACTTAACTTGAGAGAGAAACTATATACATTTTTCATTTAAACACAGAGCAAATGGGAAACCACAGGACATATACAACTGTGGGAGCAGAAGACGAATATGCTTATGAGAAGACAAACAAAGATGCTGGGTGGGTGGGACAAAATCCTAGGCAGTGCACAAAGTCAGAGAAAAAAATGACCATTGCGAGTGGAGGTGAATTCCTGCTAGAAACTCAGGCCATTGCTCCTTTCCTCCCACAAAGGAGCATTTCTGCTTAAATTTTATAAGAAATTCTAGATTGAAATTTTAGAGTACCAGTTAATAGCTTCCTCTCTGGCCAATGCATTTTGATGAAGCCCAAAACTGGAATTGGAAAAATTACTTAACTGGTGTAGATCACTGTGTCTTTAATAAAGTAAACAGTGATGTCATATTCTGAACACAGTTCGATATAGAAGACCAGCATCAACTCGGGATGAATTAAGGGTCATGTCGCCCTAAAACATCATCTGTAACATCAGGGAACACCGCAGAGCCACCTTTTGCAAATTAGGTTGCACAAAACAGTAGTAGTATCAAATGTTAGCAGGGGATAATGCCAAATGAATGGTTCTGCAGTGAAATCTCTCACTCTCTTGCTAACAAAGAAGCTCATATATACAGATACACATAAGAAACAAGATCAACGCAGAAATTTTTATAACATGTGTTAATGAATCTTCCAGGGTATGTCCTAAGATTGGTCATAGTTCTAAGTCCTACGTCTACTTCTATTTCCAGAGTGTGTCCAAGGGAATATGTGTTCACACAAAAACTACACAAATATATGCATATATACATAATACATAAATAATGTACTTGGTAAATAATTTAGAGAAATTCTATACTATATCCCTTATTTTTAAGAGTCACAATGTACATTAAAGACTTCAAAATGTCCTACAGCAGAAAAAACCTATTTAACCCAGCATTACTAAAATTTAGCTAATCGAGAGTCTTTTCTTTTTTTAATATGTAATATTTATCAATAACTCATGGAACACAGAACTCACTTTGCAATGTACTGGTATAGGGAAATATTTAATAACATAAATGAAAAAATACAAAAGAAAAAATGTCACAGTGTGAACACTATGATCCTATTTTTGTCAGATAATTACACACTTGTTTTTCCTATTTTTCCATAACACATATTTTGGTTAGAAAAAATATGCTATTGATAACATTTTTAAAATGCTTAATATTGTTTGATTTGGCATGGGGGAAAGGTACATAGAGTATGACCCATTTTCTAAAGTTTCCAAGCATTCAAATTTCTATTAGGGCTATAACTGGAGCCAAACACCTTCAGTGAGTGACGGCCCTGTCTTGCTATGCTGGGTGTTGAATGTTGAATATTGAATGTCATGGGAAGTGCCCCAGGCTCTTATTTCTACTCCTAATTGGTGCACCTGAAAAATAACCATTGAACTGAGCTTTGAATTGCCTGCATAATTAGAATAGTATATAACAAGGAGGCCAAATGTAAAGACGAAGTATTCCCATGCTTTTTCCCCAAACACCAACTTTAGGCACCTGACCAAATACTGTTCAATTTCATCTGAATGTCTCTTTCCTGCTTGACTGAACAAAAGCCCTGGGTTTCTCCCGGACTTGGGCAGATGGGCAAAGGGGAGTTCAGCAGCAAGCACTCACCCCACCAGAAGCAGCTGGACCAGAGGGAGACAGGAAAGGTGCATGGCTCTCCATTCCCCCACAAGCCTCTTGCTTAAGGAACCTAGAATGTAGGAAAGTTTGCTATAGCAAAGAAGTATATTGTACGGGAGACTGTGCTATATGGAAATTTTGCTATAGCAGAGAAGGAGCTTGGGGATTGACAAAGAAGACAGGGGATATAGCTTCCACCTTGAAGGAGCTTATACTCAAATGCTTAGTGCAGGATAAATGTAGGTAGTAGGATTCACAATTTCCACTCTACTGGGATGCAGCTCTAAATTCTGTGCAGTCAGGGAGGTGGGAAGGATTAGAGAGCTGGAGAACATGTAGTCTACAGGAGACTGATCGGGCAAGACAGTGTAAATAAATCAAGCAAGAAGTGTGTGTGTGTGCCTGTGTTAAGCACTCATGAGGTTTGCCACAAGAGGTTTATGACCAGGCTCACACCCTCAGGGAGTTGGCTTTCTTTCCGGTTGGTCGATGGCATCCCTAGAGGAAACATACGTACATACATACATACGTTTATACATACAGTTTGTAATTGGATTCTAAATAAGGGGATAGAGCCTGGCATTGAGCCTGGAAAATAGGTACTTAATATTTGTTTATTGAATTTAATCAGACCTATAAACAGTCAGAGGGCTAGACAGGAGACCTCTGCAGAGTTACCCAGGAAATGAGGATTCCTATTAAGCCATGACTGACAGAAACAATGTCATAGCTGGTGTAGTGACCCCTTGGGACAAGTTGGGAAGAGGGCAATTAGAAAAGTTTTTAAACACAAGAATGAACAGTTTAAATTTGACAGGAAAGGTGCATTAGAACCACTTTTCTGCTCTAAGATGGTAAATGACAATCAAAATTAAGTCCTAAGAACCAGAGTTTCTGGTAAGACGGAAGAGAGATGAGACTTGAATGAAGCAAACTAGCAAGTCCATTTCTAGGTTTGTCCTACAGCTATCATGACACTATTTGCTTCAGAAAAATTACCAGGATTTGATGACAGACTCAGTGTGAACTGAAAGAAAAAAGGAGCAGATATGGGGTTCGTTAAACACAATTCATTTATTCTGAAAATCTGCTTGGGCATTCAACCACTACAAGAAATACATTATGGCGACTCTCCTTTTTTGAGTATAGTTGACATACGATGTTACAGTAGTTTCAGGTGAATAGAGATTCAACTTCTCTATACCTTATGCCATGCTCCCCACAAGTGTAGCTGCCATCTGTCGCCATCTGTATCATTTCTACAATGCTGTTACACCATCATTGACTATATTCTCTATGTCGTGCCTTTTATTCCCACAACGTATTCATTCCGTAACTGGAAGCCTCCACCCATTTTTGTAATAAAAAGGCATGTAAAGTGTTTCACTACTTGCTATGTTTTAAACCATTAATTGTAGCGCAATACATGTGTGTGCGCACGCACAATCACGCGCAAGCACACATGTTTAGAAACTTGGGAGTCCTGCCCAATATATGGAATCCAGCAAAACCAACAAGCATTACTATGGACTTAAAAAGCAATAATCTGAACACACAAAAAGTTCCTCATTGCTCTGACATCATCTTAAGAGGAAAAGGAAAACATGGCTGAACCTGTTATTCAAGGGGTAATTTCCAAGTGATCTGCATCCACATGGGATGTGAGCCTTCTCAAAGTGAATTCCCATTTCCTGGTGCACACACAGCATACTGCTATTGAGCCTGACCCCAGGACGGCTCTGGTTGTATTGTCAAGTCTTGTATGCATTCGCCTATTGCTTAAATATGAATGTTCTATTCTTGGCTGCTGATGGCAAAGGCCATGTTGCATGCACATCAGAGATGAGTAGAAGAAATCATTGCTTAATATGTGACTCACATGTCTCCCTTCATCACAGGCAGAGCCCCAAATATTTCTGAACCACAAAACAAAACTCATTTATATCACTGCTTATAGAAGCTTATAAATACGTCAGTTCTGTGCATTTGTACAATATTAGGCATAGTGGGGAGTGTTTGTTCTTTCATACATCTGTCCTCCCTGCTAGGTCTGGGGAAGCAGACCCCGAAGAGTATGATGCTATGCATTTCAGTTAGTGCCAGCACAGTGCCAAAGTATACAGTCATGGCTTTTTGTCGCAGATTATTGCTTAGAGTGAAGCTCTGAAGTGCATTCTGAGCCAGGCTTTGTGTGAGTTGAGTTACCAATTAATCATCCACTACTAAAATCTCAAAGAAAAATGTGCAGGTCGGAGGGGTGGAGGAAGAAAAAAGTTGCTTCTATTTTATAGGACATTTATCTTAATTAGATTAAGAAACTGCCCATCTTCTCTTTCAACCTGGAAATCTTGAAAAAGAAGAACAATACTGGACCTTCTATCTCCAGGATGATTTCAATGCATTAAACTTCACCATTCATTTGTTTTCTTAAAGGCATTTTTGTCCCTGAAATCATTATTCCAGATAATAAAATTCCCTATCACAACTATGTGAAATCAGACCCAGAAAGCACATTCGGGCAGTGTCTCTGGTCGAAAGAGTGGTACTCAGTATCAGGATTTGTTTTTCTCCCAAAGACAGATACCCCCAATGTTAAACTGCATTCGCAATGGAAATCATCGCTTGGGCACTGAATCCAGCCACAGAGGATTTGGCAAAAAGGCTGTAACCTCTTCTCTCTCCTCACCAGTGAGAATCCCACCACAGTTTTCCATCCGTTGGTGACCTCCATCCTGGATTACCTCAATGCCCTTTGCTCAGGGCTATGGTTAAAGACCTCCCAGAAGCTCCAGCTGTTGGTACAGAATACATCAGTTGTCTAGTTGTTAACGGTCATAGGCTGACGTGACTGGAGTGTCTCTGAATCCCCAGGGCCCATCTGGCTTAGGCTGGTGGTCTCATGCCCTTTCATCAGCCTGAGTCACTGGGCTTTTTAAGAAGTCTATTGGGACTGTTGATATTTTGCAGCTTTTGAATCTCCATGTAAATTCGCCACTTCTAGGCAAGAAGTGGACTGGATACAAGTAAAAGGTAGGAAAACACTCTTTGAGAATGGATAAACATAATAGAAGTTCTGGTGAGTTCAGTCAGCTTCCCACAATACAGTAGGTAGCAGTAAAGATAGCACGGCTCTCTCTGTGAGAGGATGCCCTGAGGTGCGGACGCTTGCCGGCTAGAAGCCAGAGATTCTACAGCAAGATGTTCTGCCTTGGGGCACCTGGGTGGCTCAGTCAGTTTAGCGCCTGCCTTCAGCTCAGGTCATGATCCCAGGGTCTTGGAATCGAGCCCCGCGTTGGGCTCCCTTCTCGGCATGGAGCCTGTTTCTCCCTCTCCCTCTCCCTCTGCCCCTCCCCCTCCACTTGTACTCTGTCTCTCGCTTTCTCTCTCTCTCAAATACATAAATAAAATCTTAAAAAAAAAAAAAAAAGATGTTCTGCCTATTCAGGTCCCACCATCACAACTAATTATGATTTTGAAGAAAATGAGTATGAAATAGCAATTTTCAGTAGAGAATACGTACGACTTCAATCTGCTGCTTCCAGTCTTTAATGAAATCCAAGATTATCAGCTAGTATTCCAGGTCTGTTGACTAAGGAAATACAATTAAAAAAATAACAAAGCAAAATGTCATCATCCTTAAATGCTTCACGTCCAAAAGTTTCCTTTTGTGAAACACTTGCTTAGAAATCAGAAGCAGAAATCAGTGTACTAATTATATGGAAGGCTCTGATGTACCCAGCGGTTATCTGAGCTCATATGAGTCCAGCATTTGTGGTTTGGAAATAGTCGAGCGTTATTTAAAACTGGGCATTAGAAAACAACTTAAAAACATTAATTGAGGATAACTCAAATAACACTGTGGATATAAAATCGAAGGTGTACTAAAATAGTTCGGTCAGGCATGTGATATAGTGATAACTTCTATTCCACTCAGATAAACCAGTTATGATTGCTGACAGCAACATTTTGAGCTGGGCTCAAGGAAGACAATCCATGCAAATGAGACAATCAGCATCCATTGCTGTGACAAAATGTTCAAATGAGTAGGTAGAATGACCTACACAAGTATGAGGGTGAAATCACCCACTACCCAAAGAGAAAGATAGTTCATGATCAAGTATTTTAAGTAAATGAATGCTCATAAGTTAAGAAAGTTAACTGACAGGAAAAACAGAATTAGCTGGATTCATAGAACTAATTCCCAGAATTAATGCCGTTTTATGCTACTAAGTGTATGTAAAGTAACTGTAGGCATTATTACCGTCCATATTTCAGACATTCCCATGGAAGTGAGTGTTAAAAAGGGGAGCTTATGACAAAGCAGCACATTCAATGAAAATAATAACTGAGGAAATGCATGTTAAAATATATTGATACAGATACTATGCACATGTCACAGGAATTTGAAATATGCATACCCCTAGAAAGAGGCTGGAGTTTCAGTTCTGACTCCTCAGTGTGCCCTCTTCACAACACCGGTTACCTTCACCATGATCTCCATACCGGTTCAGCCTGTTACCAGCTACAGGACCATAGGTCTGTCTGTGCATTTACTACAAGTGTAAAGACTCTGCTTCACCATTGTAAAGACTGCCCCATGGGTAGCTTCACATAGCCTTACACCAAATTGGAGTCAATTTCCCTTCATATTCACTTCTAGCCTTGAAAGACTCTTTGGATTCAGCACCCTAAGAACGAACATACCTTTGGTCCTTCTAGTCCCCAAAGATCACCATCCTTCAGAGTCAGAGAAGTTACTGCTAACATTCCAAGATTCCTGAGACTTCTAAAGGCCAGTGCAGTGACCAGCATCAGTCTGTGTTGAAGTATTTTGCTGGTCTGCAGCAAAACTCAGGAAGGAAACAAAGGGCAAGATAGTGATTTGTTTTTTCCCTGAAGTTAAATGTATACTTTATAAAAGCTATCTGGGGGCATCTGGGTGGCCCAGTCAGTTAAGTATCTGACTCTTGGTTTTGGCTCAGATTGTGATCTCAGGGTCCTGGGATTGAGCCAAACATTGGGCTCCACCCTCAGTTGGGAGTCTGCTTGTCTCCCTCTCCCTCTGCCCCTCCCCTTGAGCTCTCTTTCTTTCTCTCTCTTAAATTTAAAAAAAAAAAAAAAAGCTATCAGTTGCCTAACTGTATGTACTTCTAAGAACCTTTCCACTTTTTGGTGTTCTTTCTTCTAAAAAAATGATGGTGATGAATTGATGGTAAGTTTTCCCATATAGCCTTACTTTGTGAAATACAAAGATGAAAATCATGTTACTCCCTTATCTTCCTCCCTTTCTTCTTTCCTCTCTCTTTTCTGTCTTCATCTTTCTTTTGCTCTCACATACCTTAGTTTACTTACTCATTTTTTGTTATTTTACCATTTTGTAAAATTCAAACATATGGAAAACATAGCATCATGGACTCCCACTGGTCACCAGGCTAAATTGATTGACTGTCAATGTCCACCTTGTACTGAGCATGCAGTTCTCTTCAAATCTCCTCAAACTATACTGAAATCTCTCCCTGCACATTCTTAGTATGCAACTCTGTATTTTCCATGGAGGTAAGACTATCCAGAAAGAAGGGGGTTGGGGCTGGAAAGGAAGAAAGAAGAAAACAAAAGACAAGACAAGACAAGAGATACTCTGTTATTGTGGTTTCCCATGTTTTCCATCCAACCCCTTGATGGGGCTCAACTTTGCTGCTGTTTAAAGCTGACTGAGAGAAACATCGCCTTCATATGCTCTAAGTTTGGGTTGAACATGCACCACCTGAGTAAATTCAATGGCTCCGGAGAGGCTGTGGGTCACTTTCATTCTAGTGAACTCCAGAGTGACTGGATCACTCCTGTGACAGCTCCCTGCTGACAGAATGTGGAAGCACATGAGGGCATGTAAAGACCTGGAGCAGCCCTGGAGATAACCTGCTCTCCCTAAAAATGCAAAAGCGGTGGGTGAATAAGAAGGAGGCCAAGGTCTCACCCCAGCCTTGTTCTATCTGGCCATGTGATTATGAGGGTGTCAGTTTACAGTTTGGGATCAGTTCTCATTCTCTACCTATCACAATAGAGGGTTTCAACCTACCAGAAAAAGATGCCAGAATGCGATGAACCAGACCTGCCTGGACTTGAAGGACAGGAGTAATCCCCAATCTAATTTTGACCAGTCCACCTCAGACGGGGCTCCAGAAGTGGAGTACTGCAAAACAATATTATTAATCTCGAAATAATGAGGAGCCAGCAACTAATATTCCAATCATTTATTAAAATTTCAGCTACAGACTAAAAAGAGAAATTCTGTCTATAGCAAATAATATTGACTTCAAGACACCTGACACATTTGTATTTCCATTAATATCAGAAACAAGGTAAGGATGTCCATTACTGCCACTATTGTTTAGGATTATCTGGAAGGTTTAGCCAATACGTTAAGATATTTAACATAAATAAGATACCTCACTAATGAATAGGGGAGTACAAATTATCTTAATTTCTCATATGATTGTCTGCCTATTAAAAATAGCTAATATAAGCAACTGGCAAGCAATTAAAACTAATAAAAGAATTATAGCAAAGGGGAAGTAGTGTACATTAAAAAAACACAAAGTAATTATTTTAAGAATTATTAAGTTGTTGGGGCGCCTGGGTGGCTCAGTCAGTAAGCGTCTGCCTTCGTCTCAGGTCATGATCCCAAGGTCCTGGGATCGAGCCCTGCATCGGGCTCCCTGCTCAGCAGGAAGTCTGCTTCTCCCTCTCCCATTCCCCCTGTTTGTGTTCCTTCTCTTGCTGTCTCTCTCTCTGTCAAATAAATAAATAAAATCTTAAAAAAAAGAATTATTAAGTTGTTAAAGTGGTTATTTAGAAGGTTAATAGCATGAGAATAGAAGTGGGTAGGCATTGCTGGCTGGTGATTATTAGAAAAGCAGACAGATACCTGCCCCATGAAGGAGAAAAAGGAACAATGACAAAGAGCAGACAGTGGGGAGGTGGGAGGAGGGTCTAGCTAAAGTGGAAGTGGAAGAAGAATATAGAGGGGACAAACTGGTTATTCACAGTCTTCAAATCTAGGCAGAGAAATTTAAACCTGACACAGAAAGACAGAGACCACAAGAACTAACAAAGGAAAAGTACCACTGGTGCAATGGATGATTCAAAGCCCATTGTTCCCCTACTTTTCCTCAATTTTCTGCTATTTTATAGTGAAGAATAGATACTTCTCACAAATCTTCTTAGACTGTGTTTACTGCTTAAGATCACATTCTTGCATAAATATTTGTTGGGGATCAACCCCATACTGAGTATATAGCAGTAAATTAGACAAATTCCTTGTCATCTTAAAAGGGGAAAAAGTACCATGTCTCTAGACAAATGTTGTGAAAATGGAAATTTTTCTAAAATAAAACTTTTGGTGGTCTAATACATACTTAATCAAAATTTTGATGAGATTTGTGTTGATTAATAAATGGATAAAAATAACTAGATCAATTGAAAATGAAAAGCAATGGAGAGGTGCATTGAGTTCGCATAGTTAAAATACTTTTAGAGGTGTAATAATTAAAAATATCTACATAAGGACTCTACAGTCTAATAAATGATAGAAGAAAGAAAAGTCAAGGACATATCCTGTTATGTTTAATAATGTTATATTACAAAGACCACATTCCAAATGGAAAAAAGAAAGGGCAAAGTTTGAATACAATCCATTAATCAAAAAATTAACAATAAAATTAGAGCTTTATCACAAATCATTCACTAAACTTCTTTTCAATTGTATTAAAGAGTTAACTGTATATATGCAACTGTTAAAAAAATAAGGAAATATAGGTTAGTTTTATGTGATCTCTGGATGGAGGTCTTTCATGGGATAAAAATCAATGAAAGAAAAAGAGTATGTACAGATTCAAGTACATAAAATAATTTAAATAATTGCTTGTCAAAACTTGTAAATTAAATTTTCAAAGGAGGAAATCTAAGCAAATAGCCTAAATATAGATACTAATAATTTAGAAAATAGAAAACAGGGGCACCTGGGTGGCTCAGTTGTTTGGGCGTCTGCCTTCTGCTCAGGTCATGATCCCGGGGTCTTGGGATTGAGCCTGCATTGGGCTCCCTGCTCAGCAGGGAGTCTTGCTTCTCCCTCTGCCCCTCACACCATTCATGCGTGCATGCGCTCTCTCTCTCTCTCAAATAAATAAGTAAAATCTTTTAAAAAAGAAAATAGAAAACAAACAGATGTAATGTTTGCAACATTGATGTTCTAATTGTGAAGCAGGCACTTACTTGATAAATCCAAACGATGTGATCTGACACTGCTATCCTCTGAATGCTTGTATCCCTCCCCAAATCTTCAAAGATGATGGAATTAAGAGGTGGGACCTCCGGGAGGTACTTAAATGATAAGGGGGGAGCACTGGTGAAGGGGATTAGTACCCTTACTAAAGAGGCCGCAGAGAGATTGCGGGCCCCTTCCACCATGGAAGGACCCAGCAAGAAGGCCCCAGCTGTAAGCCAGGAAGAAGGCCCTCACCAGAGAACAGGACCACATTAGTGTCTGGATCTTGAACTTCCCAGCCTCCAGAACTATGAGAACTAAATTTCTGCTGTTTATAAGCTACCCAGTCTGCTATTTTGTTCTAGCAGCCAGAATGGACTCAGACACACACAGCCATAACAGCACACTAGGACAGAGCACCGGATTTTTTTCATCTTTTTAATTAAAAAAAAAAAAAGACTCTTCAAAAAAACTGAATGAAACAACATGAAAACTTCTGTGTTTTAAAGATGAGTTGTGTTCAGTAAAGATTTAAAAAGCAGCTGAATTCAGTTTGATACCCTTCTATCCCAACTGTTTGATACCACTTCCAATTCCTTGGTTGATTTTATTTGAAAGTACTACTTTGCCTCACCCTAGTCTCCTAATTTTAAGCTAAATTGGCTTCCTCAATAGCCCTGTCTCAGGAACACCAGAGCTTTTTCTTACATCAAATCTTCTTTTCTTCTACTCTAATTAGAAATGCTAACTCTCTTATTGAAAAATGTTTCTTATATACACTTTCTCACCTAATTAAGTAAAAGATGACTTGTGCCCAACTCTTTCCTGGAAGTACAAACAAATCTACACGGAGATTAGGCTGACTATCTCCACGGCAGGAATATGGACTCCTCAGCTGCTTTTTCCAGTTTCAGGGTCTGTCTTGATGTGACACGTTCCATTTTCCTGCTTCAACCCACTTACACTGCATTTCCTGAATTCTGAAAAAAAACCAACACATTACTTTTTACATTTTTTAAAAGATTTTTAAAGTTTTATTTAAAGATTTTATTTTTAAGTAACTTATATACCTAATGTGGGGCTCGAACTCACAACCCAGAGATCAAGAGTCGCACACTCCACCCACTGAGCCAGCCAGGCGCCCCTCTAAGACTGGAATTTTAATTGAATTGGCCGAAGTTTCCTTATTACCTTTCACTCATTCTCTTCATTGGAATGCAGAAGTCCTTTTAAATAAAGACAATAGATTATATTCAGTACAAAACTTGTAAAATATAAAGCATCATTTAATGAAAAACTGTTTTCTCAGAGGGCGAATCTCTCCCCTACAAAAAAAAAATTTTTTTTTGAGATTTTTTAAAGATGTTGTTAAATTTTTTTTCTTTATTTAGATTTTAAATAATCCCTCTAAATTTTTGAAGGATGTATATTACAAAATGTCTTCCCTGGCATTCTAATAAAAGCAATTCTAGATGATCTGGAGAAACATTTAACTACTCAGAAGTTGGAAGGAACATTCTTTTGCAAAGAGACACCTGTTTATTGAAAACAACTTGGTTGCTATTAGCTGCATGCACTTATGGGGCAAAAATAACTATGTCACTTTTCATTGTCTGGTTCCCATGCTGCACCTGTCACTAGAAGCTTTGCATATCACCCAGTTATGTGTTGGTGGATGTTTAACAACTGGTTCTCTGGGAAAAAAATGGGACGAAGTGAGAGGATACCTTGATGTGTGGCATTTGCAAATTTCCTTGGTTTCCCACCACAGCCAGTTTCAAGCTAACAACATGGCGTCGCTGAACACAGAGCTGGGAAGAGATGCATGCACACAGGCTGTCCCAGTTGACTGTGGTACACACCTGAATTGAATTCCTGGAAAAGAGAATCGATAAGCTACTGTGTGCCAAAAGAGACCCTCAGGCTGGTACCAACTTCTTGAAAGAGACAAATTATGGTAGGGGACCAAGGATAGAAATTTGGATAGAAGGTATAATGGCCTGAGTCAGATGTTACACATCCAATTGGGGGAAAAATTGTTTACACATTTGATTGGGGGGAAAATTGTCTGTGGCTTGCTACCTTACTTATTCTAAGTATTTGGGCAGGGGAGGCTACATAAACATCCTCTTCTATTTCATCTATGAAATCTTTGGTAAATTCTACATTGCTCACTAGTGCTTTGGGATGAATGTTGTGTGGGGGTTGGGCTGGGGTAAAGGAGTATGAATTAAAAAGTGTGGAGGCCTGTTTCAGGATTGGTACGGAACTAAAATTCAGGTTGACTGTGGGGGTAATGACCTTGCTTGTCAAAAATAATTTAAGAGAGCAAAAAGCAGAAGTCAGGGTGGATGGAAGGTTTCTAAGAAAGAAGAAACAGAGGGGTTTTTTGTTTGTTTTGTTTTTTTATTGCTAGGGAGTTTCCATTTACATGGCTGGTCATAGAGGATGGTAGGGAAAAAGGCAGAGGAAGGATAGTATAAAGTGCATGAGTTGCACTGGGTTTGGGGATGATGTGGCTAAGCCAACAATGTTATGACACCTTTAGCCAGGTTTTCCAAGTTCTCTTGATGCAAGACATGGATCCAATTTTGATACGGTCTGATGTAGCCTTCTAACCACATTGGCCCCTCAATTTTAAATATTGAAGACTCGCTTCTGGATAGAACTTCATTAATTATTTACATTTCCTGAATCCTTTTCCCTGAGTTTTATCTGAGAAAGTTTCATGGTAAAGTCATATGGACTCTATGAAACAAGATGCCTATAAATATGACTTATTTATCACCATTTTGTATCAACTGGGAACATGGAGAGTAGAGAGATTGACGGAATTTGTACATAAGCATCTCCTTTATCTAAGGATAGATCTGGAAATAGAACCACGTCTTCAGACTTCTGATCCTATGCTCTATCATCCAAACAGTATTTATCTGGCTATGCAGGAAGCTCTCAGATGCACAGAGGCCACCAGAAATAGAGAGAATGGGCATGGTTAGGCTTTAGTTACGTTTTGCCCATTGCTTGAGAGACAATTTCTACCTCAGTCCTCTCCTGAACAGAAGAGGGAAATGGGACGGAAGACTGGATGGGGCTGTTCTCTGTGTGGTCCAGAGGCCTTTACTGCTGGAAGTGGGCCCTTCCGGCCACAGTTCTACCAGGAATCTTCTTTTCCCCTCATAGTAAAAACCCTGTTTATAAATATACATGCAGCCATACACAAACATATACATCCCTCAAACGTCCAGAGCAGTTTCTGTATCCACAGAGATAAATACAGAATAAAGCAGCATGACAGAGACAGATGGATATAGAAGTATTTTTCATTTTTTAAGAAAACATTTGCCCGTTTTGGGGAGAAACAGTCGTTCCTAAGGTTCTAAGGGAAAGGAAACCTGTACTTAGGCTAAACTTCCTCAGGATTAATTATTACTGTATTTGAAATCCAAATGACTTTACCCATCATTAGTGGATAAGTGTAGGCCAGGGAATAAATATCCACTCTGTCCACAATAAGACAGGTATCCGCACCAAGTTCAAAGGCCCCCAGACTTTACCACACACACATTTAGGCCATCTTTAGAGTTGTGATGATGACGAAAGGTTGGATGTATTCTGAAAGCCCAAGGAGGCAGCCAGCACAACCTCAGGCTAATTAGCAGAAACCACAGGTATAACCAGCTGCTGGGCCATTCACGTAACCAATCCTTGAGCCAGATGCCACTTTTGGAAAAACATACCTCAGTGCTCCTCATTGAAATTCCGTCTCTGGACTTATAAAGAGTGTACTGTGTGAGCAACAGAGGCATGGCTTGGGGCAACTGGGGCCATTCTGTGAGATACAGTGAGAGGCTCTGCTGTGCTTTCCAAATGGCTGCTCATTGTAAACAGCCTGTTCAGTGCGCCTGGGAACACGGCACAGCCCCAGCCGGCGGGGATTTTATGCACGCCTGTGATTCCACCCTCAGTGCAGTCTGACTTGAGGAGAGGGATCAGATGGGTATAAAACCTCATGGGAAGTAAATGAACGTGGAAGTGTTTTATCAATAAAATTTCATTGACACCTCACGTGCCTATCACTTAAATGACAAAAGCACAAGAACACCTCACATCTTCTTTAGAACATATGTCTTTTTTTTTTTCTGTTAATAAACAGAGTACAGACCTCAAACACTTGTGTACTTAATAAGTGTTATTTGAAGATGGTGGCATGTGTTGAATTGAATTCATGCACTTGGCTTACAAAGGGTTCTCTCTTTACTCAGTCCTATTTAATGTGACTTCCAACCAACTACTAATCCTTCTCTCAGATTTTAAAACAATTTGGTACCATAGTCCATACATGTTGGCAGTCAACATTTTTAATATCTGAAAGGTCGTAATTCAATTTTAGTACGCTGTCTCTTATTTTGAACATTTTCTACAGAAATATCTACTCCGAAGAACAACGTTTGGCAACAAAACTAAACAGATGAGGTCACAAAAGAGTAGTTCGTTATAAATTCCCTTTTGCAACTCGGGACAAACACACACACACACTAAAACATGTAGAGCATATATAAGTTAGTATAATGTTTTTTCAGGGGTGGGGAGAGGAGCTTATAAAAAAAACCCGACATGCAAACGAACACAAAAAGGGCAGAAGGGCTAATAAGATGATTTAATTGTTCACAATAGGTCGGCAGAGGATCGCAGCATGTCCCACATATTTTCAGTTTGCTGAGATACACTACTTATTCTCCTAATCTAGTCTTAGTTTTCTGTCTATCCATATTCCTCGTTCTCTACATGATTTCCCAAATTCTTCCTTCCCTATATCATGATTTCCTGTTTTTCCAGTCGAATTGTTTAAAGTCCACAATAAAGCAATACACAGAGGCATGTTGGCAATGACTAACATGTCCTAATGCTCTGACGGGAAAAATATTTGGGGGGTTACTAGAGTAAATCTGAGTTCATCAAGGAGCCTCCACTCCTCCTGATCTCTGTTGCCCACTATGACCCCCCCCCCCTTGGACTGGCCACATTTCTTTAATGCTTCAAGAACCGGGGAGCTGTACAGTGTAAACTCTCTCAATGTTTAATATTCTTACAAATACTTGGTTTGTTTCCTCAAGTACTTGGTGACTTTTTATGGTGAGCATATTATCTTCAGTAGAGATCGTTTTTCCTGTGCACCAAGGGTTTGAAAGCATTCTTACAGAGTGGTTTTGTCTTTGCATCTGCTGGGTCCCCACTGGTCCTAGACCAGTTTTTACATAAATATTTGAGCAGGATGCCTTGGGTCTTATGGTTTCTGGCATTGAATTCCTTATTTATTTCTGGCATCTGGGGATTTCTCTTTCTTTTGTGCTAGGTTTTGTCGGACTTGTGTTGTTGTTATTTTATTTTGTCAAATAAATGGAATACAAGGGGGTGTTCATGTCAGCTTCATCTGTCATATTACCAGAAATTCTGGTCTGATTTATAGTATTTCTGGTCCTTGTAGGAGTAATTTCTCAATGTAAAGTGGTTTGGGGTTATAATTTGGTTTCTAATAAAACTCTTACCACAGGAAGAAAATGGACTAGGAGTGCTATGATTCCTATGACTATTCCTGTCATTGCCAATTCATTAACTGGCCTCCTGGTTTTGAAACGAGTGTCATGAATCTTCTCTAAAGAGTAGGATCAGCTCTCAGAGTGTACATAAAATCAACTTTCAAAGCCTGTCAGTCCCAGGGCGAGTGCTGAACTTTGATACAATTTCCTAATGTCATAAGTGCTACCCTCTGTAGCTTCTTGGGACACAGACGGAATATAGATAATTTTCTCTGGTGATAACACCTCAATATGGCTGTTGGCTGCACACATATGTGTAGTTAACATCTACATGCTCTAGCACATGCCCAGGCTCACAAGGCTTCAGTTAATATTGTACATCATCTACCTAAGTTTTCAAAAATTAATTTTTGGGCACCTGGGTGACTCAGTCGGTTAAGTGGCTACCTTCGGCTCGGGTTGTGGCCTCGGTGTCCTGGGCTTGAATCCCACACTGGGCTCCCTGCTCAGCAAGGGGTCTGCTTCTCCCTCTCCCTTTGCCTGCTGCTCCCCCGCCTGTGCTCTCTCTCTCTCTCTGTCAAATAAATAAATAAAATCTTTAAAAGAAAATTAATTTTCAATCATGTGACAATTTAGCAAGTTATGTTTGCATTTAACTGCCTTATTTAAAGGATATGCTATTAATTATGTTAACCATTTAAATTTAGAAGTATTAGATGGCTTCTGAAATTATTTCTGTCTTTTAAGAAACTTAGATAATTTATAATTCTTAGTGATCTACTAAAAAGGGCTATGGAGATTATATAGAACACATTTCTTAGAGTCTTCATAACCCAAAAAGGATTTAACTAATTTTATTTAATTAAGAAAAAAGACTAGAGTGGATAAAAACAATTCCAAATGTTTTACCTCCATACATTTTATGTTTTCTCTTGTATTTATTTTTTAAAGACATTAGAGCATAATTTCTCCCCATTCTCCATTACCAAATAATAAAAGACATTCTCTTCAAGGTCCAGAAATAAATTTATTGCTAACAATCTTTGGGGGCTGAAACTGAGAAATTTTTTAACTGTTTTAAACAACTGAGAAAAAAGAAAAAGTAATGGAAACCAAGTTAACTGAATAAGAATCAAGTTATCAATGTTCAAAGCCTAATGCACTCTCTCCATTAGTTATTCCTAAATATGTTCTGGCCATAATTGAATGCCTAACATATAAATTTTCATGGAAAGGGAAAATTAAACCAACTCATACATACATTCTATTATGCTACATGGCTCAACACTGTCCACTGTGATTATCTATTTGCTGCTACTCCATTCCTTCAATTCA